ATATATATGTTTGGGCTTACCTCTTGCCTTTTTATAGCCTTCCACTTGAACTAACTCGCACCTCTTAACAGGTGTTGTACTGGTCTGTGCCACACATAGTCAGTCCACCTATGTTTACTCTCTCTCATCTTGTAACCTATTGGTGCCACACCTAAATTTTTTTGAATGTATTCATTTTCAATTCTATCCCTTCTTGTCTTGCCACTTATCCATCCCAACATTCTCATCTCTGCTACGCTCATTCTATGAGTATTGTTTTTTTTACCTCCAACATACCACCCCATAGAGCAAAGCTGGTCTCATAGTTGTCCTATACAACTTGCTCTTCAACTTTATTAGTATGCGGTAATCACATAAATTTTCGGTTGCACATCTTCATTGTGCCCACCCTGCTCTAATTCTATGTGCGACATCTTCTTCAATCTCTCCATTTTCCTAGATTATTGACCCAAGATATCTAAAGTGTGCTCTTTTGGTATTTTCTAACCGTCATTCTTAACTACTTCATCATCTTTACTTCTATTATTACTAAATGTGCGTTCCATCTACTTTATATTAGTCCGGCTAATTTTAAAACCTTTAGATTCAAGAGCATCCCTCAGTAGAACTTTGTGTTGATGCCGTTTCGGGACTCATCAATCAAAACTATGTCATCTGCAAACAACATGCACTATGGTACCTGATCTTGTTGGTGCCTAGTTAGGTCACCCATAACTGAAATAGAGGTATGGGCTCAATTCTGACCCGTGATGTAGACCTATTGTCATTGAAAACTCACTCATCTCTCCACTAGTTGTTTGTACACTATTCAACGCCCCATCATACATATCTCTCACCAAGTCAATGTAGTGTCTGGAGACTCATTTCTTTTCCAAGACCCACCAAATCAAATCTTAAGGTACTCTATCTTAAGCTTTCTTTAGATCAATAAAGACCATGTAAAGGCTTTTTCCCTTCACCCTAAACTTCTCAATCAATTGCCTAAGTAGGAAAAGAGCCTTGATTGTTGACCTCCCTGGCATAAAACCAAATTGGTTTTCTGATACATTCATTTCATGCCTTAGTTGTTGCTCAATCATTCTCTCCCAAACTTCATACTGTGGCTCATAAGTTTGATCCCTTAATAGTTTGTATAATTCGATGTTTTATTTGTTCTTGTAAATAGGTACCACAGTACTTTTCGTCCATTCACTTGCCATTTTCTTTGTTTTCAGCTCCTTATTGAACAACTTGGTCAGCCAGTCAATACCAATCTCCCCTTTGCATTTGCAAACTTCTATCATAATACTATCTGGTCTTAAAGCATCTCATATTTTCATCATTTTTAAGGCTTCTTTCCCTTCTAATATCCGAATCCTACGAATGTATCTATGACTTCCGCCGTCATTTATGCCAATGGTATGGTTCCTTCTACCACTGTATTCCCATTGTGTTCATCATTTAATACTTTTTTAAAGTAAATTATCCGCCTTCCGTTGATCTTTTTATCCTTCACCAAGATTCTTTGATCCTCTCTCGTAAAACGTATATATATATATATATATATGGAAAAGTCTTCCCCACACCTATAGACGAAAATGAACAGTAATTTCGCCTACCCTCATCACCGTCTGAAGTTCATCTTACGGTCACGATTGTTCGGAAGTGTTTCATTTTTCATTTTTTATTTTTCATTTTTCATTTTTTTTCTACAAATGGAATGACTTGAATTTAGAGTGCATGTACATCTTAGTGAGGCACACCTAATAAAAATATAAAAAAAATAATTCGCAAAAAACATATTGACCAAAATACCCCCAAAACTTTTCGGGGACATTTTGGTCAATTTTTTTATGTAAAATATTTTTTTTTTATCTTTTCGTAGATTCACTTATTGTTGAGGAACACGTGCTCCAAATTTCAAGTCATTCTGATTTGTAGAAAAAAAATGAAAAATGAAACACTACTGGACAATCGTGACCGTGCGATGAACTTTGGACGGTGATGAGGGTAGGCGAAATAACTGTTCATTTTCACCTATAGGTGCTTTGTAGTATCTTCCTATATATATATATATATATATATATATATCTGTGTGTGTTCGTTCGCATGCGAATGTGTGTGTTCCTAACAACTATGATTTAGCCCTCCATTTGTCAAATTGTTCCATAAATTGTGTTCGTTCGCATGCGAATCGTGTTCCTAACAACTATGATTTAGCCCTCCATTTGTCAAATTGTTCCATAAATTGTATTTTGAACTTTACATCTTTTGGAGTTCTATTTTTAATGTTTTATACTGGATTTATTTAGATGAGCCTTTGATGAATTCAGTTCAATGTGTCTTGTTTGCAAATTCGTATTGTTCAAGATAACATGATTCACAATTAAACTCAAGACCTTTAAAGTTTCAATAGAGAGCTCAATGCACTGTGACTGAGGACAATTATTTAAATTGGTTTGCTGTAACAGACACAAGCAATCTTCAAGATTGGTAGGGGAGAGCCGCCCCCTATTCCAAATTCACTCTCAGTAGATGCTCGGAATTTCATCCAGCAATGTTTACAGGTTGACCCAGAGAAAAGACCATCTGCTGCTGAGCTTTTGGAGCATCCTTTTGTACAGAGGACATTGTCACTTTCAGCAGGTTCTGGCACCTCGCGTGATAATATGATTGGTGACTTAAGATCACATAGATCAGCATGATACTCTGAATTATGAATTATCCAGGTGTGTAGTGTGCTTCATTTCAAGCCATTTCTGTTACCATCTGTGGACCAGCCTTTGGTCTTATTTTGAGATACAGCACATATTGTTTGGAGGAAAGCGGTCTAGGGTTCAAAACTCATACAGACAGACCCAGCCAGGGAAAAAAAATATACAGGAGGCTTTCCTGCTCTGGTCTTGTTCCAAACTCATAAAACTTTTCCAATATAACAAAAGCAGTTGCACATCATGGGACATTTTAGATTGTGTAGCTTTCTCTCATCACCCCTCTCAAAAAGTAAAAGGGGCAAAAGAGGGAAAGTTACTCAATCTTATGGATACCCAACAACTAAGTCACTTGGGTCATCACCATTCAATGAAATAGGGAGTGATGGAGTTGGGGTTCATCATTGCGACTGGTGGGGCCCATTCTCTCCCACTTGCCACCAATAGGTTCATTCTATAGTGATTAACCCATTGAGCTGGCCTAGTATATGTTCTCTCCCGTTGTATATGTTCTCATCCTGGCCCCCCGCTCCCCACCCCACCAAAAAAAAGAGGGGAAATTGATCAAAATAACCTAACCTTTAAACAATTTAACATTGTACTCTTTTTCAACTAGTCTAACTCATAGGCATATGTATTTTGATGGGTATTTAGAAATTAAATAGAAAGATATTGGCAAAATCTTAAATAATTGATCTCATGTGTATTAATTTCCCACAAAAGAAAGACATCCAGTTCTTGACTACCTGTACACATTTTGTTTTCTCTCTCAGGTTTGAGTAGCACAGGTTGGCAGGATGTTATAAAAGTTAATTCAGGCCATATGCGTCATGAATCCTGTGCCTATGTGTGGGGATAATGGTATTTAGAGGTGTTTCAGGTGAATTTTGAGGAGTAAAACCCCTCTCGGATTTGGACGGGGCATCTGAATACAATAAAAAAAAAACCATACAATGAGACTATTAATCTTTGGGACAAGGTAGTCACAATTAATCTTGTTCATTTGATGTGAAATTAGATGAATGCATTTATTCCATTGATCAAGCTTAAACTTCAAAAGAAATTTTCTCGAACTTTGTGGCACACCCATTGGGATGGTTGTAAATAATTATGATCTCTTTGTATCAAAAGTAAATGGTTTTATTGTATACAATTCCTTACAATAATTGTACAGAAGTTTTGGGATTTTAGTATATCTGAGTTGGCAGTTGATTCTTGTTGGAACTGCTTTTGTTAGCCACTATTGACCTTTGGGCGGTAGTATGAGAGTGGTTGTTTCTAATGGTGACCAAGCAGTTCCATTGCTTCTTTGTTTTCAGCCCTTTGTAAACTAGATTTATTTCTTTGGGTTAATTGTAATAGTATTTTATTGGTAAATGGTTATGTATAGGTTCATGCATACAAACAACGCGTCTTTTTGTTTTTAGCTGCACAGCATTTTGCTTAAGTGGATCCCTCTCTCTCTCTCT